TGTCTTCTTGTAATGTTTCTGTGTATAGTTACATGGACAAATACACTCTAGTGGAAACTAACTTTTTTTCTGGAAAAAGTCATGAATAAACTCAAAAACATTTTTGTGATTTTCAATGTCATATAAAGGCCAAGTCATAAATGGTTCAACTCTCGCTGTTCTGCAAACACATGGGAAGCAAACACATGGGAAGCTGGCAAACTCTCATTTGCAAAGGTGAATAGTGTAAGTTTCATATCTGAACTCAAACTATACAGCTTGCCAAGGCAAACTATCTTGGCGATGGTACGTGCTTGTCTGGTCTGTATGTAAAAATTCATCAAACTCACTAATACCATTTCCAAGTGTTCTCTTCTCTTGGTCTTCTCTAAGTATTTATACCTAAGACTTCCCATCAGAGGCTTGGAAAGGTTACAAGAAAGACATATAGGTTACCTAGTTAGACAGGGACTCAGTCCAGCTGACCTTCTGCCCCTTTTCATAACCCAACCAAAACGAGGAAAGAAAAATAAAGAAGAATATAAAATAAAGAAGAAAATAAAAAAGAAAAGTTCAGTAATAGAAACTTTGAGAAATCTCTGCTCACTAGATCACAAATGGCTCCAGAATGAATAAATAGACCAGGAACCTTGTTTTGGCAACTCTGCTTTCCAAGACAAGATGTAGTATTTGGAAGGAGAAAGCTGCACACAGAGCAGGTCTTGAGGCGAGCACTGTGTACTTGACTCATTACCCATTTCACTGTTTTTGGATCAGTATTCTCAGAAACTCGGAGCAAGCCTGGCCAAACCAAACAGAAGAGCTGGTTCATGACACATTTTCCACTGAAGTGGGGTTCTTCTTTGGCAATGTGGGCAACTAGTGACATTAAGAATAAGGCCAGTGATAAGAGCCTGCTGGGCTTGGAAACCAAGCAAGGGAAAGAGTCTGAAAAGGGATTTAGGCCCGGTACAATTATTTCAATGAAGAGAGAGTGTCCCTCAGTAGTTATGTTAGGTCCTAAGGGCAGAAATCTTTAAAGCTTCACATAAAATAAAAAAAGAAAAGAGAAACCAATTCAATAGACTGATAGATAGGTGTTACGGCACTAAAGAAAATGTAAAAGGGACTAAAATAATGAAAAATGGCGAAATAATTGGCAGCTGAGGGTTACACTAACATTTAGAGTGTTTGATGAGTCAGGAAAAAGAGTCATACTCAAATGAAAAATAGATAACAATCCCCAAATGAATGTTCTAATGGATTCCAAAAAGAGCAGTTCAATATGGTCAGAATATACGGGAAACCATGTTCAGTCCTGCTAATAGATGAATGCGATTTCTCACACATAAAATTGGAAGTACTCAAATACTAGCCTGTGTTGGCTGGTCTGCATCCTCCTACTTCCATGGATAATGCACACAGGAGTGCAATTTGGCACCATTTTCTGCAGAGCAAGTTGGCACCATTGGAGGCATGTGCAGACTCTTGAATGCAATGACTGATGTCCCTTCAAAAGTTTACACTCATGAGATGATTCAAGATATGGGCAAAGATTTAGTATGCTGTTTGTAACAGCCTAAATATAATAATGGCATGGTATGTATATCTGGATATATATATATATAACATGATCAAAAATAAAGCAACAATCTACAGTAGAAAACTGCATGACTCTAAAAAACTGACGATGGAGGAGTGCATTTCTTATTTTGCAAAACATGGTTTCACATAGAAAATTTAAGAGAATGGACAATTCAGTCCCTTTCTAGGTACATATTAGTTATGCATGCATGTTATACATATGTATGTGTGTTTCACTGCAGAAAGTCAAGAAAGGTTATCAACATGTTACAGCGTATTTCCAGTAACTTTTTCTGATTATTTTATTTTTTTCTACACATTATTAGTAAAGTAAGATTTGTAAAGAGGAATGCAAAAAATGAATTGAAGAGACTTCAATAAGAATCCGGGGTACTGAGTCTGGTGAAATTGCCTACTCCCAGCTTTATGGGAAGCTGAGATAAGAAGGCCCCTTATTTCCAAGAGTTGAGGGCGATCTGGTCAGTATGGTAAGATTTTGTCCCCCACACATGTACATATGAGCAGCACTAACTGGGCTTACTGGGATATTATATACAAACATAAGTTGGGAGGGAGATGTGAGATATATTGGGGAGGGTGGGGGAGCTGGGGGGAAGGGGTGAGGAATGGATATGGCCAAGATACATTGCCTACATGTATGAAATTTTCAAAGAGGATAAAAGAAAAATCTAGATCCTGAATCAAATATTGATGTTTTGATATTTCAAGAATAATTGTTTAAACATAATTTAAAACGTGAGTTGGGCCTGCTGCTACAGGCCTGTAACCCCAGCTTCTCAGGAGGCAGGAGGATCCTAAAAACAAGGCCAACCTGAGCAGATTACTGAGACCTTGTCTAATAATAATACTTAAAAAAAAAAAAACCCGAAAGGACTAGGGATGTGACTTTGTGGTAAAGAAATTAGCATGTATGAGGTCCTGAGCTTAATCCTTAATACCACAAAAGGTAGATTCATAGGTAATAATGTTGAATAAGATATATTTAAGATATATGATATATATACATGTAATAAGATATATGTATAGGTCTACATTTTAAAAATATTTGCAGGACTTCTAAAAAAATCTACAAGTATTAATGGATATAAAGGAAGTACAGAGGGACATGCCATAATTTTGAATTTGAAAGAACAATTACAAAAAATGCAGTAGTTCTAAATATGGAACTAATTGCTCAATATTTTCTATATTGAAATAATAGCCATACTGGTTGCATTTCAAATACACGAAAATAAATAAAAAGTTCACATTACACTATACCTAGGAAAGACTGATTAAAAAAGAACAAAGAAGCAAAAAGAATTTGCATTGCCTTACATTTAAATATATTGAAAAATGAAAAACAATTAAATCATTTTGACGAAGTTTAAAATAAGATGGGTAATAGAATGAAATTGACCAGGAGGAAACTGAGTACCAATCACATTCCCTAGATGGTTAAAGAGGCAGTCAACTAAATTGTGAAGGGATGAATGAATGCAAACAGTGCTGGGAGAATTATTAACTATTTTAAAAATTTAGATGCTTTCAAATGATACTCCTGAACAAGTTCCAGATTAAGTAAACTTCTAACTTTCCGATTTGAGAAGTAAGAAAGTCATTCTAATAATATAAGTAAATATAAGATCTTAAGAGTAAACTTTGATAGATTTGAGCATATAAAAATTTAAACCATTCATCCAATGACACTGTCATAAACACAGTAAAATATGGAAAAGCCTTTTGCTCCATATACAAAAGGGCTCCCTGGCCTTACTACATAAAGAGTTTCTATAAATCACTAAGCATAAACAAAAGTGACTGTAATGGCAAAAGGGCAAAACCTAGGGCCAGATAGAAAAAAAACAAAAACAAAAAAACCCCCACAAATGTCCAGTAAGTATAGCAACAAATATCAAAAATTATAAAAATTAAGTTGCACATGGTGGCACATGCCTTTAATCCTAGAATCTGGAGGTAAGATGGTCTCTATGAGTTCTAGGTCAACCTAGTCTACATAGCTATACAGTGAGACCCTGTCTCAAAACAAAACAAACAAAAATTATAAAAAAACAATAACAAAATCATAAGCTGAAATAAATCCTTGTCGTGCAATGCCGTGGAGGTCAGAAGAGGGCTTCACATTCCCCTGGAACTGGAGTTGAGGGCAGTTTGTAGCCACGATGTGGGTGCTGGGAATTGAACCTGGGTCCTCTGCAAGAGCAGTCAGTGCTTTTAACCACTGAGCCATCTCTCCAGCCCACCTCTAGTTATTTCTTAAGTTAGCAAGAACATTTATTTATTTATTTACTCATTTATTTATTTATTTATTTATATTTATTTATTTATTTTGGTCTTTTTAAGACAGGATCTACCTGTAGCCCCAGCTGGCCTTGAACTCACAGAGATCTGCCTGCCTCTGCCTCCTTGAGTACTGGAATTAAAGGTGTGCACCACCACGCTTGGCAGCAAGAACATTTTAAAACATAGTATATTGGCAATAATGTACTGGGAGGGATGTTAAATTTTTACAATTCTCCCAGAAAGAAATAGACAATAGTAACCACAAAGTTTAAAATGTTCATAGCTTTTAAATCAGGAATTTAGAATTTCTTCCTAAGGAAGTAATCAAGATGGTCCACAGGAATTTGTGTTCCCTGTACATTAGTTTTTTTTTTTTTTTTTTTTTTTTTTTTTTTTTAAACCCAACTATCTAACAAGAGGTGCTTGGAAATAAATTATGGCACTTGTATGCCATGGGACAGTATGAACTAATGTACATTTTAATCACATATGACAACTGAAGAATTCAGGCTTGCAGAGCTGCAGGACAGCAACTTGGTTGAAATAATATGTGACTATGCATACTGGACAACATCCAACCATATATCCACAAGAATTTTAAGGCTGATGGGACTGTAGGGTTACCCCCTCCTTTTTTGTTTCATTCATTCTACAAACACTGACTTGCTGTTATGAGGTAGAATTTTCTATAAGTTCCAGAGTATCTTCAACTATGTATTATTTTTTAATTGGGAAAAGGATATTTTTATAAAGGTTCATTATGTAAAACTGACTTCTGTCAGATGCTTATACAAGACTTGTAGCAGCCAAATGTGGTGGCAGCCACTTATGATCCCAGTACCCTTTCGGTGAGAGCAGGATGATAAGGAGTTCAAGATCATCCTCCCCTACACAACCAGTTCAAAGTCAGCTGAGACCCTGTCACAACCAAATAAACAAAACAAAGACTTGGAGCAAAGTTAGGGGCATGCATTTTCTACTGAAAGTTTAAAACAACGTGAGAAAGAATTAGGGCTATCTAGATTCCCTTCAACCCATGTCCCACCTTTATAAACACTGAAGCGGGCTTGAGAGGAACAGGCAGAGGTGGGTGGGTGGGAAGGGCAGACGGCCAGAAGGGTTTGGCATCTTACCGCCGCTTGTTGGAAGGCGCCCTTGGTGTAGGTACCACCTCCGCGGTAGGTGATGGCGGGGATCTCTCGGCTGAGCAGCGCGCACTTGTGCTGGTGCGCGCGGCTGGTGGAGATGTAATCCACGCGCGGCACCACGTTGTTCTTAGACGAGAAGGTGACGATGGCCACGCGCGTGGCCGTGGACACCACGGGGAAATCGGACAGCAGCTTGCGCACGAACTTGAGCTCGTTGAGGAAGTTGGCTTGGCCCACGCTGGACGATTCGTCCACGAGGAACACGAGCTCCAGGCGCCCGCTGAGCTCCCGCAGGCGCCGGACGCGGCTGCGGAACGCCCGACCCAGGCGCTCCACTTTGCTGTCGGCCGCCTCCTCCTCTCCCGGCGCGGGCGGCGCGGCCAGTCGTCCCGGAGCTCCAGGAGAGGCCTCGGGGAAGAAGCGGAAGCTGAAGTTGCGCGACGGGGACATTGGCTGAAAGCTGGTCCAGCCCGAGACCAGCGCCAGACCCCAGCAACAAAAGGCCAGGCGCGGCCACATCGCGCTGGGGACCAAGCGGTCACCCCCAGGGAGTGCAAGGCGACAGTCCCGCGGAGAGAGGCGACCGGTGGCCCCGGCTTAGCGGAGGGGACCCAGGGCAGCACCCGAGAGCCTCAGCGCACTTTCGGGTGACACTGGGGACAGGATCCAGACTCCTCTGGCAGCTCGGGGATGCAGGAGGGACTGGCGCGCTCTGCCCCTCTAGCTCTCCGCTATTTCTCTTCCCGCTCGCCTCCTCCTCCTCTCTCTCCCTGAAGCCTATAAAATGTTTGAAGGGAAGGGGGCAGTGAAGCCAGAGCCACTTCCCTCCTTCCCTGTCCTCTCCCTCCTCTGTCCTTCCCCCTCTCCCCTCTCCTTTCTCCTTTCCGTATCTCTCTCTATCTCTCTCCTCCCCCTCTCCTTCTCTTCTCCAGGATCCAGCTAAAGACTCTTGGAGATTCCATGACACCAGAACCCCGCGCCTGTCATGCTGTCAACATTCCCTCACAAGCGCACCAGCTCTGGAGCCCTGATTGATCCCATATGTCTGGCAAAGAGCTGCGGAGGAATTCGCTGGAGATGGATCCAGATACCGAGAGTGCCACAGTAATTGGAAACACTTTGTAGAGAAAAACACGCGTGCGGAATGGCCTGGGAGTTGAAAGCATCCTTTGAAAACTGCTTGCTCACCTTTTGGGTTTCTTTTCCACTCTTGTGAGGTGTGGGGCGGGGGGAGGTGAGGGGGAGCTTACCACAATGGATATTTGCATAACTTTCCTGAAGGGGATTTCTGATCAGTGCTGTGTGACCTCCTGCCGACTCTTGAGAAACCCATCAAATCACAGGCTGTTGGGTTGCAGGCACCTCTCCACATTCCATAAGGAAAACTTAACGTGCTGTTATTAGTGCGTTTATCTACTCATTCATTTGTTTACTCTTTTCTTCATGTAACAATTTCTGAGTGCACAGTATGTTCCAGGATCTGTATGCTAAGTGCCAAGAGGATGCTGAACAGCAAAAACTGACATGGACCCTGTCCTCAAGGAACTTATAAGGCAATAGATGATGCCAATGTCAATTAGACATTCACACATGAAACACATATGCATGGTTGTATATGTGTTATACACATATATGATTGTAACTGATCTTGTTAAGTTCTATAAAGAAGAGCTTAGGAAGCTAGACCTGACTTTGGCCAAGGTCAGACAAAATCCCATGGGGCTGTGAAATGTACGCTAATCTCTGAACTGTGAATAGGGGCCCATTTTCCTTAATCCCTTTTCTCTTGATCTAATTCAACAGGTGAGAATCTGCTTGACATAGATGTGTTTTGGAACACCAGCTGCTGCTTGAGGTGGTTATTCTAAAGCAAGACACCAAATGGGTACAAGTGTGAAGGTAGGACCCTTGGTTGAAAGATTCCAGCCATGAGTCAGGAACCCTGTGCAGATCTACCTGCAGAGTTGTATAAACCACCAACACAGAGCCAGCTCTAGGCCTTGGTCCAGTTTCTACATCTATTTCATGATGGAATCCAGCAACTCCAAAGTTTTCTTTATCTCTAACAGTGAATGATTTAACTTTACCTATACTTCATGAAATACCTTCAGGATGAGATGTCACGGCAGATTGGTTGAAATGTTAGGGCTCTTGGATCAATTTTCGTGACATGAATTCTTGTCTGTATTATTTATTAGCTGTATCTGTTTGCTTATTTGGAAAATGGAATAATGATAGCATAGTAAGGATTAGCATGGATTAAATTGTAAAGTAGTAAAACTCTTTGGAATGTGCTCAGAACACAACGTGTACTCCATAAGGACTAACTTTGCCTATTGCCACCTTCAGTCATGAACGTTCTCCAAGTCCTTATTTTTCCAACAGCACTTATTGGCTAACTAGTATGTACCAGCCCATGAAATATTGAGAATTGACTCTCTATCTAGTCTTCCTCTACAGTCAAACTGTATCAGAGGAAAATGTGGATTTGAAAATTACTCCAGAGTAGTGTATTTGAAAGAGGAAGAAGCACGGAGACAGAAGATCTAAATAAGCCTTCTGGGAATGAACACAATCTCATTTGAGTTGGAACTCTTTTAAAAAGGAAAGTTTTTCCAAATTTTGTCTGCTCAGTGTTATTTAAAACACGTCATTAAGAGCTAGCATTCTAGAACCTTACTTTGTGAGGCACCATAGCAACTGCTGTGTATACTATCTCATGTGTCCTTTACAAAAACCCAGAGACATAGATGGTTGTCTTAGGATCTTCTGGTTGCAAGAAATAAGCATCTAACTTCTCTTCATTTAAACAAAAAGGGATTTATTGGCTCAAGTAAGTAAACTGGGGAAAGGCCAGTGTGTTGGAGCTGGGCTCAGTAAGCCTTGGGATGGAAAATCAAATTGGTACTGAATTTGAATTTGTAGTCTCAGCACTTGAGAGGCTGAGGCAGGAGGATGCCAGTCTTTGTAAACTGGTGAACCCCAGGCTCAGCCAGAGACTCTCTTTCACAAAATAAGGCAGAGAACAATTAAAGAAGACATCTAATGTCAGCCTCTGGCCTCTATACTCATGTATACAAATACATAACACACACACACACACACACACACACACACACACACAATCAGGATCACTTCTGTTTGTACTACCTTTAGTCTCTTTTTTGGATTTATGAGCTGAAAAGGCTCTTCCCCACAAGCTCAGTTTTAGCAAAACCCACCACTACTACCTTAAAGAGCAAGGATAGGCCATACATTTTCTGTGGCTAGTCATCAATCTAGTTTCACAGTCGAGTCTCCTTTAAAAGCAATGGAACCCCTGAATTTCAGCTGAATACAAAGATACCTAGAGTAAAAACTACATTTCCCAGCACCTCCTGCAGCTTGATATGTTGGAGCTACTAGGTTCTAAGCTGTTTTTATGGGGCAGCTTCTAGAAATACTCTTTAAACGACAGCTGCCATCTTTTATCAGTGACTTCATTTCATCCCTCACATCAGTTTTCTGTATAGAGCATAATAAGATGGCAGAATTCTAGCAGCTGCCTTGGACCAGAAGAATGATGGTCACATTCTAGGGATGAATGGAGTCTGGGGCCCTGTAGATTTCACAGGATAGAACCACCATCCTCATTCCAGCATGCTTATGCACCCCTCTTGCATTGAATTTGTGTACCAAGCAGGCAAAGCTATGACAGTTGTGTGGTAAAAGCGTGGAACCCATCAGAGGCAGAATAGTGTGTCTTGAATGTTAAGATTATAGCCCCAAATCTTGTCACTGCTACCACTCTCTAGTCCATTGTCATCATTATGATTTGAGTATAAAATATTTTCTACATTCTCAAGTGTTAAAGCTTAGATCCTCAGTTGATTGTGCTATTTTGGGAGGTTCTGGGAACTTTAGATGGAAGACGAAGGCTGTGTTCTTAGAGCCTGAATATTGTCCCGGACCTCTCTCTGATTCTCTCAGCTTCTGGTCCCAAGAAGCGAACAGCCTCCTGCTCTACATACCTTGCTTCCACGATGCCCTGTCCAAGCCTGTGGGGCTCAGCCACCATGGACTAAACCCTCCTACACAAAGAGCCCAAACAAAGCTTTCCACCTTTGTTTCTGTCAAGCCTTGGCTGCTGCAGTGACAAGATAAATAAACCAAGTAACACTCTGGTTTAAAGCAGTGTTCTGAAAAAGGAGGGTAGCCTGATTTCGCACCCTACCTCAAGAACACTGGGAGTGTCTGGAGACATTTA